CTGCTGTTACACTGAATTTTCTGTTTCTTGAGATTTAAGGTATTTTATTTTGCCGGAACATTTTGATCACTTCAACTCCCCCGACTTCCTTGGATGCAACAAGATTGAGGCAGGTCTGCACATAGCATCAAGTCCGCTGTGGATGTAGTAGCTGATGACCTGTTCCTTAGCAGAAGTCTAACTTTTCTCCTGACTCCCCAGTTTTTAGTTTCTAGTCATGCTTGGGTTGGAGGAAAGTGCCTGTACAAACTGAGAGAGGAACTTCAGGCCTTGAGCAGAAGAAATATTCCGGGCAGCTGGGGAGTATGAATGCACTCAAAGAGATATCTAAGTAATTTAGCTGGCCAGTAAGCCAGATTTGTTTAATTGTGATTTTGCATTTCCTTCATCTGGTGGACCATGCTGCTGTATTTCTGGAAATAACGAGGAGGTTGGCTATTGCTGCTGTCAGAGAGGCTGCAGGACAGGCGTGACATGAGAAGCTACTGATGTCTCTTGCTGTCTTGGCCTCCGTTGCCACATGCTGTTTGTTGACCTGCAGCTGCAGGACACTGGTGACCAGTACTCCAGAAAGGAGAGGAGCGGCTGTATGTGCCATGGCTTTTCACTAAATTCTGCTGTTGTCAGTACCCAGATACACACAGGGAGTCCAAATAAATAAAGAAGGTATCTGGAGGTACTAAACAGAGGAAAAACAGGCTCTATGCAAAAAGGAGTTTGTAGTAGGATAAGAACATGGTGACTTGCTGATATAGCTGTGGTTTGGTCTTTTAGGAGTAAGTAATTAAAATGACTTAGGTAGGGACTCACGCGCAATGTGAGAGAACAGCATTGCTTTTGATCTGGTACAGGATGGTGATCTTTTTGTGTGATTGTGAGGAAATTCTCACAAGCTCAGTAATATTTAATTTGAATATTACCTTTTCTGCTTTAATTTTCAAAAGCTCAGCTTGAAATACTGCTATTTGTCTATGTATCCACCCAAGAGTGCAGTAATCCACCTGAGAGGTGGATTAATTTCTGCAAATACTTTTTAGTGCTGTACAAGATTAATTTGCAGTTCCTATGGTTCTGTTGACTGTTACTACACCCTGCTGTACTTCTTGTATTTAGAGATCCACTTTTATGGTGGCTTGAATAGTGTTTTTTTTTCTTCCTGGCTTCCACACAATTAAACTCTAGAAGTGGAATGTTGCCCTGTTGACAGAGAATAGAGAGGAGACCCAAACACAGTATCCTGTGTTCACAGTCCTGATCGATAGTAACTATATACGTGCTGAACAGGCTAATACTGTGCATGTAACAAGAACAGGACAACATCTGTACTTTGAAGTGGTACAGCAGAGCTTCCTTTCACTGAGATAAGAACAATTTCTCATCACGTACTATTTTTACTATCCCTTGACTCTGTGGGCAAGTTTCCAAGAGGCATCTCTGTGGAGGTACGTTGCTCAAACATTGTAGTGTTTGCATGTTATTGACTGATGATATGTTTGTTCTTCTGGAAAGTTTATCTAAAACAGAATCTTTATAAAAATGATTATTTTAAATATGTTAATGACGTTTTTCACTTGATTAAAAGCCTTACTGCCTTTTCTTCTTTAACCATAACCAGATAAATGGTTCAGTGGAAAAGTAATGTAACTTTGTTTTTTTTTTTTGCCGCATCCAAAGCGAGATTCTTAAATTATGGTCAAATAGCAGCAATAATAAAACTGCAGAAAAATTTTGTACTTGGGCATGTTTAATATTTCAAAACTTTTCAGAAACACAGGCTTTCATTTTTCAGGGAATTCCATGTAGATCAAATTGGACACCTAAGTGATGATCTGTCTCTACAAGTGACTAGTTTGAACCCAGGTACCTCTGTTTATTCCCTGAAAATAGGTAGGGTAGGCAATGGCAGTTTTCCCTCGCCAGCCACTTTGGACTGTTTTGCTAGACTTTTCTAGAAAGATCAAGGGAAAGGATGAAGATGTTGCTTTAACCACTAAATATATTTATTCCTCTTTCTTCTATCAGGTAACCTGGAAGGCAGCGACTGTTCGGGGGATATCTAGGAGCATGAAAAGGGACTGGAAGTATTGCGCTTAAGTAAGTAATCGTCACTGTGAGCCTTAGCTGGCAGCCTACAATTAGAGCCTTCTCTATCCTACTGACTAGCCTCTAAGCTATACTGTTGCTAATGTATTTGCTTTTCCATATTTTAATTCATGTGGCAAAATGAGTACACTAAAATAATTCAGAAATAAGCCCTCTAGATGTGTCAGGTCATTATTAACTCTGCTGATCATTCCTGATTTTCTGTATGAAACCACATACAGGAAGAGGGCCCTGGGAACCCTTGTTCTATAACTTTTCTTTGGCAAAGGCTGGTTGGAAGTGCATGGTCTGGACAGATGCACGTGTAGTTGCTCTAAGTAATGGTTTTGAGAGCTGATCCATGAAATTGGACAGGAAACCTTTACAGCAGGATAAATGCTGGCTTTGATTAAATGAAATTTAAGAAAATGAATTTTAAACAAGGGAGGTATGCTGCAGGCCAGCTGAGCCCAAACATTTCTCAGCACTTAATTTAATGATGAGTTTGTACTTTCAGGGTGAATGCAGATGGAGCTAGTTCATCTTCCTTTCTGCTTGTGTTTCATTTATTGCTGTTGGATTATTGATTTTTATCTACTCCTACCATAGTGCTTTTATTTGCTCTTTTGGTATAAAAAGGTCCAGCTGCTGTGCTGAGCCCAAACTACAATTAGCATAGGGTTAACTGCAGTTACCTGTGCCATGATTATGTGGGGTAATAAAGAAGCAGGAGAAAGTGTCCTGTCAAGGTGTTTTATAAAGAGCCCAACACTATACTCTCTCCTGTGGAGCATCTGCCTAGAGACGTTGCTCCTGTGTTGCACATACCAAGCTGTGTGCTGATGTTATTGGAGCTCTGGGAAGGTGCGCACCTTCCTCCTATGGCTTACTGCTATTACAGCAAATGGTAATTCCACATGTACATTAAAATGGAATATAATGGAAACCTCTTTCTATCACCTATGAACAGCTTCATCTATCAGGGAAAAGGATTTTCAGGATCAGAGGTTCCTAAGCTGTGGTATGGTCTCAGGCTGTTGAAAATGATGTCCTATACTACCTTACCTCTGCTTTCTTTTAGTTGGGGAAAAATGGTTCCATTTACTGCTGTGTTCCAAAAAAAATGCTTTGGAAAGCTCCTGCTGGAGCTCATTAATTTTGAATATTAAATAGGTAGAGATATTTCAACTTTGATAGAGAAGAGAGTTGGAAAAAAATCTCAAAAGGCTTTTCAGCAAAGAGAGGTTAATTTCAGCTGTCTCTTTCCTTTCTTTCAGCTACTTCTTGCCCAAAAACTCCTTTAAAATTTAGTAAACAAACTGAAGACACCCCCAAAGTGTTCTTCAGTTAACAAATGCTGTAGAGAACAGTTAGAGAAACTGATGCTGCTTTCCTCCATCTTCCAAGTGCCTTCTGTGAAGCTGTAAAAAGCCAAAGGGAGGAACAAGGAAGAGAAGTGCTTTACTAGAATCTTACATGAGAGGTCAATGGAAATTCCCTCTTCCTGAACAATACTTACATTTGTAGATGATTGTTCTGTTTGCTTTAAGTTAAACGTTTAAATTGCAACATCATGTTGGGGCGTGTGCTCCTTGAGATATGAGACCCAGCCACTGCATACATATAAGAAAGTACTTTTCCTTGTAGCACTAGAAGCAGGTCAGTTCTGGTTGATGCTGTTGGGGACAAAAAGCTTTTCAGAAATTAAAACATCAGTTTTTATTGGAAACAGGATTGATGCAGCCATGCCATGGCATTTACTCTGCTATGTTATCTAGTTAAGAAATAGCTCCAGATATCCTGTCCTCAAAAGATTATATTTTTGGTTCAAGCACCCACTTACTCTGCCAATCTTTTCATTTCTTTGTTTCCAGAATTTAGGTTGTTATTTTTACTCTATGTTATAGACCATTTTCATAGACGTTTTCACAAGTACTTAATATTTTCTCCTCTAGTGCTTAGTTTAGTACTGTAAGTGTGCTTACAAACCCAAGTTTTCCTCTGAGGAAATGAATGTCATATATATACGCTGACATGTTTGTCTCAAGTAGTTGCAGATTTTGATGACTGGTATAATTAGGCTGCTACACAGCAGTGTCTTACTTCATCAGCGGTTTCCCTAAAAGAAAGCATTCATTATGCAGAATAGAACAGGCTCAGGGTAGGGAAGGCACATAGATATTACAATGTCCCAGTAAAAGGGTAAGACAATAATCACCATAAAAAACAATTGTAGAGAAGTCTTAAATGGGTGAGGGGGATGACAAACCAACTCTTTAAACATCATTTCAAACACTAAAACAGAAATTCCATGTCACACCTTTCTTATGGCTAAACGTTGAGACTATAATATAAACTTGTGTGGTAATGTCACATCTTTTGTGTTGCATCTGTAAAAGTCTCACAGTGCTCAGCTAATAGCGTATAAGCTGAGGTTACAAATCCTAACTGAAGGATCTGACAATCCAGTCATTGCCCAAACAGCCTGATACCTCATATTTGCTGATTAACAACTGTGATTATACAGATATGATAGCCAGGCCTTCAGCTCCCACTTGAGCCTAAACTGCTATCATCTCCAGCATACACAGCTATTTGAAGCAAGTCAGCTGTTCACAGCCAAATTTGGTAACATTTATGATCTGCTTGTGTTGGCAATGTGAACAAGATGAATTAAAGTGGTTTGGCTCAGGTGTAAACCAGAACCTGAACGCAACTACCAGGTACAAAATGAACGTGGCTTCTGACAACCACCAGCCCTGTGCATCTTCAAGAGTTACCATCAGGACCTGCGAACAGGTTTGCAGAGGATCTTCAGCTTGAAGTCTGAGATTGCTGCTTGCCTGCCTTTCCGTCCCCCCCCCCCCCCCCCCAAAAGGGAGGTCCCAAATGGGGATGAATGTGGCAGTCCAGACATGGATCTACTTGAGCAATTGTAGAACCTTGCCCCAGAATATTAGCAAAAAAAATCATCTGTTTCCATGATATTGACCTGTACCACACACATCTAGGTTATTTACAAACCAAAAGAAAGCACAGACAGAGCCAAGTCATGCACTAAAGTATCGTTTCATTAAGAAACGATTTTCATTTTGTTTCTGAAAAACTGCATACACATGTTCAGATCTGTTCAGCCTTCAAAAACTTAGTTTCTGATAAGGTTGAGAACACAGTCTTTGTTTTTAATCCTTTATCTCTGCAAACATTATTTGAAAGCTATTTACATTTTACACCTTTCACTTATAGCAACATTAGCACCAGCCGTTAGATACATGCGCTGCATAGCTATAGCTTGCAATTTGGCATTGACATTTGATTTAGATGTAAAGTGAAAAACAAACAAAACCAACCTTACATTGTTGAAGAAACTTCCCACAGGCAATTACAGTAAATCTCATTTCTTCTTTGTAAAGGAGATGTCTGCATAAAAGTTTCATTTAAATGCTTCAGACTTCCCTGCAGTTATTAAAATATTATTTCCACTCTGAAAACTGGATCATCTTCCTCTGGTGCAGACATGTACTTTGCTTGCCTCAGTGAATGGGAGCTGAAAGAAAAAATTTCTCAGTTGATATCAAAGAAGGCAGGAGTGCCTTCACTCACTTTTGTTTCTTTCCCTTGTTTTCAGTAAACACATTACAGGTAATCTTGAATTTCAGCTTTTGCAGTTAGGACATCTAAACTCATAAGCAGCAACTTAGATGCTAAAAACTGCATTCGCGATCATGGCTCCTATTACTTTCTCCTCTAATTTCTTCCATCCATTAAGAAACAAAAGTCAATTACCAGGCAAACATTAGTATTCAATCATGCTGTATTTTGCTCATGCTCTTTATATTCTCTAGTCTGTGTCAAAAAAAGAAAGCCATGTTTTGCCACTGCACTCTGTTGGCAGAAGTTGTGTATAATCAGCAAAATATCCCTTCTCACAATCATCCTAAACAGTCTTTGCTGTTTCATATATGCCAATATGATTAATTCAGAGTGAAGAAAATGTGCAAAACTACACTTTAAAAAGCATGCGGTTCTAGAATTCCTGCCTTCTGTTATGATAAAATTAAGTTTTGGGTGTGTTAGAGCAGAAGACATCCCTGAATTCAAGGGATGAATATTTTTCCTTAAAGTGAACCAGCTGAATATTAGATAAGTGTTTCCTTCCAGATGATGTGTTTCATTATCACACAGCAAAAGCTGGCTTGAGCTTTATTTAACTGGGACTATGTAGCCAGTAGTCAGCGCATTACTCTGGTTTTCAGCTATGGTAATTAAGCAAGCCATGTTTTATAAGAGGAAACATTATTCTCCTAACTGCAAAACTGCTTCAGAACTCAAATACACAGAACTGAAGAAGACATTTCACTTCACAAATTGCAAGAGCTGTTGTTAATAAGTACGGAGGCAAGTTCAGTTCATGATGGAAACAGTACTTTCAGGCTGGCCTCCAAATATCTGGGAGAAGAACTCAAAAGCCAGGCGGATGTGGATGGGGATGAAGACGTAAGCAGTGTACACCACCATAGCAAAAACAGTCACAGTGATGGTGTGGAACATGGACTGCTCCCAAGGCTCCAGCACATAGCTGCAGGTGATCAGGAGGTACTGGTAGTACAGCCAATAGATATAGTCCTTCACACGCATAATATCCATCTTCAGCTTTTATCAATTTTGAAAAGACAACCTGTAACAATAGAGAAGCCCGGATTACCACTGCTGTAGAAAGAAAGACCCAGAAATAAAAACTGCTGTGGTGAATATGATAAAGTTCAAAGTACATGACAGTTGTTAGATAAAAGAAAGTTCAATTAGAAATAAAGACACAGTGCCATCACCAGCCTCTCTCTTCCTGGAGCAGAGGCAAACGGCCTTTAGCTCTGGGAAGTGCTACCTGCAGTAATTAAAGTTGTATCAGTTGGGCACTCTAACTTCCTACATTCTGAGTATGAATATGTTTTGTTACTCATCCTGCAGTAGGTATTAAAACCACATTAGCTTGTAAAGGCATAGAGTTCACATGGAAGTCAGGGAGATACACATTTAAAAGGAAAGGCTTTGGGCCAAGTTCTATAGATGAGGATGGCAGACTTGTATGCTCTAGAATAAAGGAGAGTTTAAAAGAACTGCTCTGTAAAAAACTCTTCTGCTTACTTCTGACAGTCATTTCTTAAATCCTAAGAGTTATAGAATACTAAAATAGGCTATGAAGGGTGGGGGAGAAGTCATTTCAAATTGCATAACAAGTTTTTTTTCCAGCTCATTTCAAAGAAATAAGATACATTGCAAATTAAAGAATAGCTAATGGAAGTTACAAGTCTAGGAAAGAATTTCCTCTCAGGTAACACCTTTATGCATTCACTGTTCCTGTCTCTACACAGAGAATAAAATGGCTGAGCCAAGTATTAACTAGGAAGTAGGTTTTGCCTTCCACTATTTCTTGTTAAAGTTGCTTTTCAGTATTTTATATAGTCTTTAAATTCAGGTTTAAAACACCTACTTACAGAAGAAAACCAAGATAAACAATTAGACTTCACAGAAAGAATCCTTTATGGGCTTTTTTTTTTTTTTTTTTTAATTTCAAGTCAAAACAAGCTGGCCAGGTCAGCTTGTAGTAAAAGGGAATACAGGAGATTTTAATCCTGCTGGAAACTCTTCCAGTGTAGCATTTTGTTCTATGATCTGTTGCCTAAAATGCAAGGTGTAGAGATGCTTGGACATGTTAGATCCCTCCAGTCTAGTGTTTCTTAGTGAAATTTGGGCAACAGAAGTTCCCTGTCCCTTAAGGCAACAAATACTAAGAAAACACTAGAAAAATTCCAACCTTTGATTGATGACCACTGGTATGGCCTAAATATAGAATACCTAATGCTTTACTACCACAGAGAGGCTATACAGTTTTTTTTCTCTGTATATTCTACGTTAAGGTCGTATGTGAATATTTATTGAAGGCAAAACAAATTACTGGTGGTGAGGGAGGACCACTTTTTTTTTTTTTTTTTTGACAGTCATGTAAAGCTTTATTTTGGTTACTGGTGAATACAGTTTGTGTCCCGTGGATGCATTATTAAGTGCACACACCTTAAGGAAGCATATTGCTCCATCTTTCTTCCTTTAGGTCACCAGTACAGCTAATTGTTAAGGTTCAGCGTTCCTATATAAAGTTCCAAACCTAGCCTTCTGAGAGGCTATACAGCAGTGTCTCTCCTTTTCTTTAAGAAAAGAAACAAATGCAGTCTCTTCCTAAGTGTGGGAGACCTTTTCTGATTACATTGGTACTCCAATTGACTTTGCAACGCTGCCAGTGAGGGAGCTGCCTCTAACCTTGGCTCCCCCTCCATCATCGTCCCTATGCTGGCTCCTTTCCCAGTGTTTCTCCTCCCTCCCTGCTGTTTCCTATCCAGATCTCCTTGCATGTGTTCTTCAGCTGCTCCCCAGCTCTCAACACCCCCGTGAAGACAACCTTTGGCTGGCAAGAAGCACAACGAAACCGTAAATACTGTGCACTAAAAATTGGAGTGAGAGGTTTTATATTAGCAGATTTGTATACAGAAGATTTCTGTGCCTGACCCCTCCCCCACCCAGTTACTTTCCACCAGCCCCTCAACCTCTGCCTTCAGTACCTTCCCCAATATATCCTTTTTCCCCCCTTCTCCCAGAGCATTGAGTTTCCATCATTTCCCTCTTCCCCTTATTGTCTCCTAGGCTACATCTCCTAGCTAAGAGGCTCCCTATGATCTTTTTGGAGGGCAGGTCACTTCCATTTTAAATCTAGCAATGGCTATCTCTGCTACGAACAGCTTCACTTGTACAGGTACAGGTTGGAGAGAAAGGGCTGCCATTGGTTTCTGACCTGTTATTAATGGAAGATGATTCCTTTCAGATACATTATTTTAAGGCAGAACTCAAGGGGCCTTAAAGCCTTGAAAATATCGTAAGGCCTGTAGTAAGAGTGGCACAGCTGTCAAACCATGATTCACCAGGAGCCAAAAGTGTCTCTATGTAACTTCGGCAAAAAGACAGCCTTTTTCAATGATTAGGTTAAGTCCTTTCCTATACAACTGAAACTAAGCATAATGGGTCCTCTTACACTCAGCAGGATTACAGTATTTGCACTGGGGTTATACCTGCACTAGTTAAGCTTTCTTGTGTAAGTAACTATTAAGCCTGATTGCTGTGCTGAGAAACTGCAAGGCTGGAGTGCTTGCTTGCTGTGCATTTGTGACAGTGTGAGAAGATTTATCAAAGGAGTACTGGAGCAGTTTGGAGGGGAGAGACCACAGGTTAAAAGAGCTTTCTGCCCACAGCAGCACATACACTTTTATGTGTAAATACAGAGCTGGTATGCCTTCATTGGTATAAGGAAAAGCCAATGATACTGAAAGATTTCCCCAAGCTGAGTTCACTGATATTAGACCAATCCACTAGGCTGCACACTCACCATTATCATTTGCTAGATACCCTTATTTAGGAGAGACATGTAAATGAAGTACAAAGTAAACAAAATAATGAACAAGCCTTTTGGTTTATTCTTCTCAGTGTTTTACAAAGACATCATTGCATTTTCTCCAGCCTGGGGACTGCATTTCAATTCAGCTTGGTCACAGATTTCCTAGCGATGCTAGGCAAGTCCATAAGCTAGCCTATGCTTTGGTTCTTCCCATATTTACCGTACAAGGGGATAAACTGATCCTCAGGCACAACTGTAATGAGACTCCTCAAATTAGCAGCTAGAACGCAAGCCTTCTTAACAGGGAGGCTGTGCGATCTCCAAATGAACGATAAGGTTGAGATAAGTAAAAGGTAACAGTCAAATTACAATTCCCATCCTCATCGCTAACACAATTCCACTCCATTTAATCTATCTAGAGACTTCCTTCTTTAGCAAGGCTGTCTTGGAAACAAACAATGGGCATCTCAGGACAATGCAATTCTAGATACATAATTAATTAGAGGAAAATGTAGAAGGTAAGGAAAAATAGTCATCTTAAACCAACTGATCAATCAATGAGATAGAAAGAACCTGCTGTGGTAGTATGCCACAGATACCTTTTCTTAAGGTACTCAATTTGCATTAATTGCAAATTTAAGCATAAGCAATACTCCAAAGCGCTCCATGTCCAGAGGTTTCAGGCAAACTTACCACCCAGTCCAATCACCATGTAGCAATATTAAAGGGAAAGGCAGATGACTAGACAAACAAGAACCTTTCTGGCTAAAAGTTGTGCGTGTTAAAACAGGACTTGTCCTAGAGAGGCTTCCACTTACATTTTTAAGTGTTGCTGATATTTATTGCATTTTGCTGCATTAATGCTGCAATTAGTTGGATCTCTGAGTTGAAAGGATCCTGCATTATTAGCTCAGTTTCCGGTGTTCCAGAACAGGAGGAGATAATTTGTTGTTACACAATCTTAACTTATTATTTTTATTTGTCTACAAATTTGAATTTAAGTGTTCAGTTGCATTGTGGAAATGCCTTCCTGGGTAGAGGCCATGGAACTGTTACAACCAGCTGTGCATAAAATGAATAGAATTCAGCTTCTAAAGCTCTGTAAGCAATATCCAAATTATTTTCAGCAATCTCACCTCCAAGGGAAAAGGCAAGAAGAAAAACCTGCAAAGCAGCTTTTATTGTTCTAAGTGGCAACCTGATTTTCCTGATTGTTAACACCTCTCTGAGTAGAGCAGCTGAAGAGATAAATCTATACTAAGTAACCTTAGTTCACTGTGTTAGAACTAGTGTTTGGAATTGTAATACAAAGAAGATGCCAATGTTATGTACTTCACTATATCTCATTTCCGCCTTGAGCAACACCGTTTTTTGGGACTTCATTTGTTTGCACTGGCTGTGCGCATCTCTGGTGGCCGAAACCCACATCGCAAAATGCACATACTGGGAAATTCCTGCAGAAACATTCTTGCTATGTGACTGGCATAGACTGGTTTCCAAAGAATGCTTGAGAAAACCTTATACTCTCGCTAAGAGAGTATACATACTACACATATAGAGAAAAAAGGGTTTCCAAAGTATACTCAGGTCTAGATAACTTTATCTGTAGTGGGCAAAAACAAACCCTGGAGCTGTAGATAGCATTGAAATCATTAAACAGATGGTCCCTGGTGCCTTTATATGTAGAATACAAGCACATGAGAATGGTAGTATCTTCATATATGCTTTGCACTGCTATAACCAAAGCCGGAAGGAAAAAAACCAAACCCTAAACCCAGTCCCAAATATGCACATATGTAATTGATTGTAAATGGGTCATTTGCTAGATAACTGCTATGACAGCACAGGTGCAAGACTTGATCAGTTTTGCAGAATCCTAAGGGGTTGGATTCATAATGAAACTTAAATAAAACCCTGCTGTGGGACCCTGAGGCTTGTATTTGGTCTTCTGCCTTGTGTGCAGGCTCCAAATGGCAGATAAAACAAGGCAAAGTGCAATAACTATTTTTAAATAATTTGTCTAATATGTTATTTACATAATTATAACTATCAGAAGAAGATAGAGTTGTACCTCTCTGATATTGAGATATATATCCTCTCTGCACATAGTTTATCTAAAACTGTTATTAGACTTTTCTCTAATTTTATTGTCATAGACAGGTTTGGTGTACTGTTATTTAGGCACTCTGTCCTGACTTACCTGAGGACTTATCCTGTCACTCTTAATGCTAACATAACTCTGGAATTAACCCATTGAT